AATTCCAAGGTTCCCCAAAAGGCTGTGAGAACTGTAGTTAGACTCAAATAGTGACAGACACAGCAAAAGTCCTGTTCGTGAAAAAAGCTCCGCGTCTCCACTAAAAATTTTATTGGTTCATCGTGGCATCTCTTTGTTTTCGAGAGTTATTGCTCTTTTTGAATACTGTCGCATTGACTCTAACTCAAATGTCAGAATTTTTATTAAGATCTAGAAATATAATCTCAAACCAAATTTGACGTTAATTCAAAAAATGTTTTTCTCTAACTAGTATTCGGAATAGTAACTCATCATTTCTGAAAATCGATTCGAGCATTTTCAGATTTCTCGTGAAGGAATGCATCTGATCATACTAAATTTAGCTAGAGTTAAGAAAAAGTGAGTCTCAAATACAGTTTCACTGATCACTGACTACACAAAAATACAGTACTATTTTATACTGACGATTATTTCGAAAAGCTGAATTGCTTAACATGGTGACATAGTGTATTCGATAGAGTGCCACTCACTCCAAAACTCTGGCAGTTTAGAAGTACCAGCGTTTTTGATACTGTTGAAATATTATGTCAACTTTGTGAAGTAATGTTTTCATCACTCCTCTAATAGTGGGTTTGTCACATAGCCGTTGAAGAAAAGCGTTCATTTTCATATTTAGTTATCTCAAATGAAAGGTTCAGTCGAACTACAATCAAATAAAAAATATTAGATCATGTTGATCTGAATATGACGTGAAATCATTCAAACCCACTCTGAAAATGTTTGAAAATTATCTGGAACGTCTTAGATTGAAAATATAAAAAAATATTATTCTCAAGTATAACATCTGAAGTGAATTCTAGATATAATCTTACACTGGAATGTCCAGAAGAATGTCAATGATTACCATTCGTAAATCTTTTATGGTACTAAAATAGATAAAATCGAACGTTTTCTTTTTCTCGAATTCCATGAAATAATTATAACGCTTCCCTTTTCTATTCTCTTTGTATTTCAAGACGACATTCTTTATTCCAATTTAATTTCTAATAACTTGTTGTTCTTTGATTTTTCTAAAAGACTTCTTATGCGAATTATGATATTAATTGAGACAATATTATATGAATTGATAAATTTCATTCCTTTTTTTAAGTTGAATTGGATAATTACTATGATTTTTTTCAAAACAGATTTCATACGAGAAACAGGTAGTACACTTTAAAAGAATGAATCATTTAGAAAGTTCTAATAGAATGAAAATAAAAAGTTCATGTTAACATTATTTTGTTACTATCTTAGTCTTAATTAGCAAAATAGACTGACTCATCTACTAAAATTGACCGAAAAATAACGGCGACGACGATTGATCTATATTGAATATGTCACACACTATTCAAGTTTCTATGCTTTTATGAAACGAATCGAACTTTTCGAAAATAGAGAAAAACCAAGCATTGAAATATATTTACTCATAGAAGTGTTACAAATCCAAAAGCCTTAGAATTTAGTATTACGTAGGTGATTTGGATTTGGTCTCAAATGATACAAATCTCAAAGCCCTTGGTACCAGATATGTTCTATATTTATTGTAACCCTAAATATAACCCTAAATACTAAATTAATTTCTATACATTTGACTGAAGAATGGCAACAGTCATGAATCTATCAGGACAATTAATACGAGGGCAGATTTAACAACAACTAAACAATACTGACTTAAAATAGTCAATGCTATCAGATACAATCAATTTAATTAGTCCAAATTGTTAATATAAAAAGATGAGAAAAGCAAAGATTAGTTAGTTTTCTAAGTTTGACTCATAGAGATTTAGTAAAGACTTCTACATTGAAATAAGTTATCTCTTCTTCAGTCAAAATTTCTCATTATGCTATATATGGATAACATTCATGGAACGAAGTCTACAAGTCGATATCTATTTCTCTGTTTGAAATGTTTAAAAGTTAATCAAATAGCTTGAAGTCTGATATCAATATTAAAGTAAACGTTAGACTAGCTTTAAAGATAATTACATTCATTTATTTGAGAAATTTTTTTAATCTCAAAGTAAATAAACAATTTTCTTTTAATTTTCGTTCTTTATGTTTTAATATAGATTCAACAATGGTCACGGAAAATTGTATAAAGAATTAATATATGAACAATAAAATTTAGATAATCATATTCCATTGAAATTATTAAATTTATTCAAAACAAAGTTCATCTTCGAATGATAAACAAAATGTCAAAATTGGCTAATTGATATTTATATATCATAAGGAATGTCTCCACGTGATTTATTAACAATCAATGATTTAAATGAAAAATCCTATGATTGTGTATGGCAATTAGTCTGAAAACAAATTGAAGAAAAGTTTTCATCAAAACAATAAGAATATGATGGTAAATTAGGGTGTGGGTCGGTATTGGCATGGTGTCGGGTATAGTCTTGTCTCCATGTACACCCACATCTCCATCGATATATCTTGCCGATTTCAATGATTTTAGTTTCTATTGAGACTTTATGGAGCTATTGAACATTTAATATGTCTATTTGCTAGATGGGTCCATTTACAAGACGCCAGGTTTTCGCAAAGTCATGTTTTTTGAAACGCGTCTTGAAACTATCTCCATTTGAGGATTCCCATATAGATAAGCTTGTATGAAGCTTTTTAGAGTTTGTAACATTCGTTTCTTCAAGCTCTAAAATTTTCAAAAATACACGCTTTTCGAAGCGTAGTAAATAATACAAAAGTATTTTTGAAAAGTTTATTTTTCGAAAATGCAAAGTTTGCAAACGTTTTCGAAAACCTCGGATCCTGCGCAGAGATCTGCAGACGAATAGATCTATTAAATATTCAATAGCTCCGTTCAGTCTCAATGGAAACTCAAACACTTTTAGAGTTTTCATTAAAATACGATCTAGTACATATAGGCAAAAATTTGCTGTAGTGAGAATGGTCCATGATGTAAACGAATTTGTTTCGGTAATCTTTCTTCATTAATATTATTTCCCATTGGGAATTGTCGTCCTTCAACTCTACAGCGTTATCAGAATTTAAAATCACTTAATAAACGTTGATCAACTGATTATATTATATGACATATTGTTATGCGTTGTAAACGGCCACAGCATAATTCAATATTTGAAATTAGAATTTCATTTGCAACTTGGAGCACGTGGATGATATCGAAAAAGTGCCATATTTGAAGCATAGAACTTAATGATTGAAATGTAGATAGTTTGAAATCTGATAATCGAAATTATGGCTCAGAAATAGTTGTTACTGTTGATGATGATGGTTGAGATAATTGAATAACAGGAGGCATAGATGAAACTTGAGAATCAGAATTTGATAATTATTTTTCAATTTTATCAAAATAATCTTTATTAATTAGTATGTGATGAGCTAGAAGTTCCAGAAAAAAAGTCAAGTTTAGCAAAATTTTCTTTTGATTGATCTTTCTTATTAAATATAGGATAAAGAGTTTTGTTAAAAAAGTTAATCAGCACAGCTCTGCTAGAGCTAAAAAGTGGACATTTTCATATTCCATTTTTCTCAATTTAATATTATTATTGTTCTAACCATTGATTTAACTGATAAATAAGCCTGTTGTACATATTTAGTATATATACAGTAGATTTCAACACACTTATCTATATGTACATCACGATAAAATTAGAAACAAATTAATGTTGGTTTTTCCCAAAGTTATAACTTGATCATTTGACGATTATGGCAAATCATTACATGACTATCCATCATCCTTGGCGTCTTCAATGCACCTGTTGTTATTGGTTGCTGTGAACAATGAGGGGAAATCACAAAAATTCGACTCAAAACTTACATTTGCTATATTTTTCTTTGAAAAACATAATGTGAGTTCTATTACACGTGCCCGTTATATGATTATAGAATTGATTTCGAGTTCGAAAAGTATCAGAACAGTTGATTAGATCAATACAAAATACATACGTTTCTTACATTTAATTGAATTTCTAATTGTTTACAACGAACTTCAATGATTAAAGATTTGATATTCGAAATTCTAAAAAAAACATAATTTTTTATTTTATTAGATTTTGTACAAACAGTTTGTTGAATATTTTCTGATTTCCACTAAGCGCTTCAAAATAGAAAGTGGGAGTGACGACAACTTGGATAATGTGCGAACGATAGGAAATATTGCTAATTGGTTTCGGTCTAATTTTAGGTAAGTTTGTGGCATATCGATCTACGGCAGACAAATTTTCTCCAATCAGATTCCTATAAGACTTTTAAGTGAATCTTTAGAAAATGAGAGATTCAAGTAGTGAATTTAAAATTTTAAAATATATATTCCATAGAGAAAATTGTTCAATTTCGAACTACCGAAACCTAAGTCAAAAACTAGGTCTAGACAGCAGTAATTGGTCATGCTGAGTCGAAAACCATCTACCACTATTATATAAAGATTTTCCAAACATCAGCTGTTGATGTTATATAGTGGGAAAATGCTAAAATTGAAAAATCTGGATATAATTAGGGTGGATTATTGTTGAAACTGAAAACTAATACCATTAATGGATTCAACAAGGCCAATTAATCATTTATAGATTTACCTTTTAACTAATCCAAAGTCAAGTGGCTGAAATCGAAGGTCTTTGACAAACTATTAGAACTCTTGAACAGTACAAGCTTTCATAGCTCGAAAGTGTACAATTTTCTCTATCGAATACATATTTAAATACTATGAATTCAGTGTGTTACGAACTTTGCTAAAAGTTGATTGAAGCTATTTTTCAATATCTCTTATTGTTAGCGAGTTATTCAAGTTGCAATAACTTCTCGTCTATTTTAAAATGTGCAGAGATCAAGAAAATCTCACAAAGTGTGCGATGTCTCCCGTCGGATAAACTTAATGCATCAAAACACTGTATTTTCTTTTGTTTTGTACAAGCCATTGCAAGAATGTTATATTTCAATGTGTTTTATTTAAAACTGTATAACAAAGAAACGTGCTTTATAGATAAATATTGCACAATCTATTTCCATGATTGTTCATCATTATTTAACAAAACTTTTAATTCTTGTGCCTAAAATTTCACAAACGAAAATATGAATTGTTTTTTTGTTTTGAAAAATAAAACCTTTTGACAAAGATTCGAAAATGATAAGTTATTGAATGGAAATGCTATTTTATCATTAATATGTGCAAGTGGTTGTTTTATTCGAACAAGATTATAAGTTAGGTCATTGATTAATGTACGAATATTTGCATTTCGTATTAATGATGTCCAAAGAAGGGAAAAGAAATGAAATATGACCATTTGAGTTTTGTTTTCTTTTTTTTTATAAATAAGCATACGTCTTTTTGCGTAGTATTGTCTTTTCCAATAGAATAAAATCGTTGTTGTCATCGATGGTATACCATTCATTGTTGAAAACATGTGAAATCATCTATAACAGATGGAATTTCTAAATAAATTGATAAATTTCGTAAAGTACGTATGCGTAGGTCGTATGAAGAAAGATCATCAAGTGTCACATATCGTTTTGAATTAGATATATATATCAGTTTGTAGACTATGATGCATATATCTTGAGATATTGTGACACATGATTGCTTTTTAGATATTCAATATCTCAAGAAGAAAAAATTCTTTTGGATCGAAAGTTCTAATACAATATAATGGTCATGAGAACTATCTGTAGATAAAAATCCAATGAAACGATCACAACTCAAGAATTACAAGATATGAGGATGAACCATTCTAGTTTCTTTTTTCAGTCTTATTGTAGATGAACTATCTATTCATTTAGAACGTTATTCTAAAAGAATTTGTGTTAATAAGGTTGGTTTCAAGGATTTTGATCATTATACTGATTATTCGATTGTGTATAAAATATTCACAAAAATTAAGCTAAACGACGAAATTCTTATCTACTAGTGTGTTGACATTTTTGATAGAAGACTTTTTAATAGTAAGTTAAAATAAAGGTTTTTATTAATCATTATATTTGATATATGCCATTTCTTAGAAAATAATCTTATTTAATCTACAAAAAATATCTCACCTTGTTTTAGATAGATTAAGTGTCGCCACAAAGAAAAATTCCAAAGTTTACTTCAAACTGGGTTCTTAATCCTTCAACTATAACCCGAAATGCTGCAATAAGAAACTTGATTTTGAAATAAACAACGTTCAAGAAAAGCACCAAACAGTTGTACTGTTAAAATTAATTCTCTATCAGGGCATTGAGGATAAAATTTATATTCATCAAATAAATTTCTTAATCTATTATGAAAACAAATATTTTATTGATTCTTACTCGTGCTCTAGGTATTGTTGAATCTTTATATTTTTTCACTATTGATGAATCATTATTATTTGAACACTAGCAAAGACAATAGCAAGAGAAAACAGAAAAATAAAAGCTTTATTTCTCTTACTTTGATCAATTCTTATTTTCTATTTATTCTTTTCTTCTTCATCTTCTCGACTTTTGAATGTCAATGTTAAGAACCAACATTTCTGATACAGTTAAAATCTATGATAAGATACCAAAAGATAAGTCTTCACAAATTATAGTTGTCATAGCT